TTATAATATATTTGTAAGTCATAAAATCAAATTTATAATTTCATTTTTATCATCTTAAATTTAAAATTAGGTCATTAAAAATTTGATTTAAGCTCTGTTTAAAACCAGCATAGTAAAAGAACTGCATAAAATAGTATTATTTAAACATTTACTTGTTTAAATTTGCATTCATAAATACATAAATATAAATTATATAATTAACACAGCATTATTATTAAAAGGACATTCAACTGACATTTTGACCTCCTGCTTTCCCTCTATATAACCAACAATCAAATATTGTGCTGACCATCTTCTAAACTATGTAAAATTGTGTTCATCTATCTCATTTATATTCTAATTAAGATACAAAAATAAACAAGTAATTATTTAATAATTACATAGTCATAATGCTGGGCTGCAATTCTTAATCATATTTTGTTTAATTTATTAAAATTTAAAATATATGCTCACCACCAGAGTCTGATTTGCATTTTGTGGGCACTAGGACAAGCAAGGCTTTTGGGCCCTTAATAATAATAACTATCTTTGAAATTAATTTTATTGGACTTATTTACATAAGGAAGGATTTTTATAAATTCTTGTTGTACCTTTGTTTTAAAGTAATTTCTTTGTTAATAACTGTAAATCTCAGCAACATTGTGAAAGCTACAAAATTTGGGTGCCCACCAGTGGCCAAGCAGTCTTCATTCCCTGAACACTGGAAGTTCAGTCATGGGTTTGTGCCTCACTTGAATGGGCTGGCCACATGGAGTTTTCCAGGTTTTCTCCACGTCTGTAATGCCTGAATAGGAGTCAGTTTCCCTTAAAAATACCTCCCGGAAGGCATCCCCCTAGGCAGATTGCACAAGTGTTGCATTGCCATAACTAAACAAACAAACAAAATTTGGAACTTTTCGAAAATTAATACTTTTATTTGGACTCCAAATAAAAGTATTAATTTTTCTCCAGAATGTAAACAAACAAGAAACAAGTTCAAAAAACATTCAAATATTTCAAATTAATGTTAAAAATTACATATCTTAATGGATTTTCAAATTTTCTGCATCATCTTTTAGATTTTTTAGAAATGACTCTTATTTTTTCTTATTAAAAGTTTATAAAAATTGAAAACTAATTGATAGTTTTGGAGCCTCTAGAATCACGGGGCCCTAGGATGCAGCCTACTCAGCCTATTAGGTAAATCTGATACTGCTCGCCACTTTCAAATTAGCAGTCTTGCCCTATAACTTTATTGTTAAAGGGAAAGTATTATGTAAAGGGGTACATCATACTTTTATTTTAACAACACAGACATGCTGTCATCTATCTAACTGCTTTCAGAAGACATTTCTGAATTGAAATAACATGACTTCCAGTTTCCATCAGAAGTTTGCACACAGTTAATTGAAGCCTCCTGCCCCTAAGGTTTCCATATCTTGTCTTGTCTTTCATCTATCTAACTCAGTTCTCAAGATTAAGGAAAGACAGACAAATGGACAACAGTGGAAAGTTATAGATCTACAATTTTTTCAAATTGCAACCCAACTAGATAAATTCTAATGCTTAATGTATTAGTTCTAATACTTAATAAATTCTAAAGTGTAATGCTTTTAAATCAGACAATGAATACATTATAATGAATCATTTCAAGTTAATTAAATCCTCAAGTGCATATTATAAACTTCACTACTATGACTCCTGAATTATAATAATTCATATTAAGCAAGTTATTTCTGTACTATATTGTGAAAAACAGTTTATCATCATCATCAAGTATAAATTTTTTAATGTATGTGCTATCTGAATATTTATAAGTAGTTTTATATAATTTTTTCATCTCGTTAAATCTTATTAAAACATTATTCTTCTTTTGACCACAGATAGACTAGTAAGTGTTCAATATTTTTATTTGTATTGCAAGTAATCAACAGCATAAGATTTTAAACTTATAATACAGTATATTTTATATATTTACTAATTGATATAAAATAATTTCTTCTCTTTTCATATTGATTAGATTTTTAAAAATTCTTAAGCTACAAAATAATTATTTTTTTAGTTATTACTGATAAAATACTATCCATTACTTCATTATTTGTTATATTTTAACAATTTATTAGATACTTTTTGAATTATTGCTATAAGCTAAATGTATAAGAAAAATAAAACAAGTTGAATATGTTCAAATAAATCTTATGTAAGCACTAATTCACTTTCCTCTCATTCACATAAATATTTATAAGATTTCCTTTCCCATCAAACATTTGCATAATACTTGAATTCCTTCCAATTACTCTTTAACTATTAAAATTGTTATACAGTACAACATTATAAAATTGTTATAAAATGCTTTTTAAATATTTATATTAATATTTTAAAAATTCAAATCTTAAATTACCAGAAAAAATGATCTTCTGCCATTATTCTGAGTGCCCTAGCAATCGCTTTTTGTTCATTTGATAAATTTGAACTGAGATTAATGTTATATTTTTCATTAAGAAATTCAATTATAAGTTGAGAGTCACCCATTTCCATTCCATTTAATGTAATATATGGTACTTTGCCTTTAGGTCCAGTTGAGGAACCAGAAAAATCATTCTAAAAATAAATAAATAAATAAATAGTTTTAAAGTTTAACACACATTAAATATGATTAAAATTTTTTAAAATATAATTTTAAGGAATAAAAACTTATATATATAATAATAATTCTTTTTATTACAGGTCTTTATTAAAGATGAATGATATATGATCTCATTTATTGTTTCATCAGGCACAAAAAATTTTTAAAAATTAATATTTATTAAGATTAAAAAAAAATAGTTATAGAAATTATATACAGTAGTTAATAGTATATTTATAATTTAAATAAAAAATTTTAATTCCAAATAAAATGTGTAAAACAATATTCTTTAATTCAAAAAACATTTGATGAAATGGCCAAAGAAGTAAATATACATTTGCACCCAACATTATACAAGATAATGCTCTATGCATTATCTTGTATAAATTTCAACAGTCTTAAAATTATACATTCTATGATAAGCCTTAAAAATTCTTCAGATAGAAAAAAATATCATATATTTTATAATTAAAATTTTTATTTCTAAAATATTGCAATATTCTGATCTATACATATGTAATAACTAAAATAATAAATGAAAGGAAATAGTCATACTATACCTCATAAGGGATTTTAGCCATTCTTAAGTAGGTCTCCAATTTTAAAACAAATGGGGATAAACTTGGTATACCAACAGATCTTGAAAAATGATGTAATATTACAACATCTTTCTTTTTCTTACTATACTCTAAACGTTTCCTAAAATTAACAAATAATTATTTAAAATTGTATTAAAATATTTTTATAAAAAATATTAATAATAATCCACTATAATCCTTACAAAATCAATCACCACCACCAATTTCTTCAAAATGATCTTGAAAATAAAACTGAGAGTCACTCTATTGTTTTAGACCAGAATGGAAGTGGACAATGCCTTTCAATGGAGCATTGTTTTGTTGGGAGAGAATAACCCATTTTTATCTTAATTGGGGCAGTCAACACTCAAAACTGACAAATATGGACTTAAGTCCCAGTTGTTATCCACCAAATTCCTCTATATTGGTTGAAAATCATTGTTTGGTATGGCTTCATATCACATTTCAGTAACCTGTTCCATTACAGCACATTATCTTCACATGCTACATAGCTTTGAAATTCCATAACTGCAACAAATATGTCTGGATGAAACAATTTCTAGCAAGATAGAGTTATATCAGAAGATAAATGTGACAATTTTTATGAAATCATTTTACTGAATACAAAGTAATTAGTTACTTTTTTCATGGTCATGCCATGAAAAAAGTAACTACCATGGCCATAATAACCTGATCTTATATCATATGATTTTTGGCTTTAAGGGCACCTCAAAATCAATGTCTATTTGAGGAAGTGACCCTAACCTAGCTGCCTTAAAGGACACGAACAGAACATGTTCTCCAAATGGGTTGCATTCTGCAATTTGAGCATAATGTGTATTACATGATTGTATGGACTTTCTGACTAAGACAACATCAGAGACATCTTCCAACATCATGAATAAACAATAAATGATATTCAGGTTATAATAATAAAAATTTTAAACTGTATTTTACATTTATTTCTTTGTGTTCCTCCATATGGTATTATATGTTGAAGAGCAGCATATTTACCCTATCAGAACATTTTGGAACTAAATTTTTTCATGCAATCCTTCTCCTCATGCCTTATATAGCCTACATACAAATTTTGGTGCCATTCAGCTTATTCAATGAAGCTACAGAGCACTCTACATAGAGATAATTTAATTAATAACTACCTATATATAACTAAGTAATAAAGAAAGACAAGAAGTGTTTTCCTTAAAATATCTAATATATCAATTTAATAACACATAAATTTCCTATTTATTTTCCTTCAAAAGATTAATTCTTTGTAATGTAATATTTTAACTTGTGTTTTTAGAATGGTAAATTTCTTATATATGCAAAGTTAAATCAAAATAACAATTTATTCAATATAATAATTACTGCAAGATTTAAAAAAAAAACAACTTAGTTGTGGTAAGGTTTTTAAATAAATTTACAGTATTAAATTTTAAAAATATTTTGATATTTTCTTTTATAACTTAATTGCATGTGTTGCAATACAGTATAATTATATGATTTCTCATACAGACAGATTTATTTAACATTTTATGCAAAAGACCTCAAGGTCACTTTATAAAATGCATAGATTAATCTTCAAATATCAATTTATCCTTCAAAATAAAAGAAAACACTAAATTTTAAATATAAATCAGTAATTTTATTATAGAAAGAAATAATGATAAGTTGAAGCTACTATTCATAGTCAAACACATTAATAAAGCTAAGCGAAAGCTTATTTTTATCAAATAATCTTATCCCTAATCAATTTCCTCTCCATTAATGAGAAAAATTATACGAACTTAAATACAAAATTTAATCATATCTACAATAGTTAAATACTGATTCAAATAAAAAGTTGAAGTACTTTAAAAATATTCATTATAATAAAAGCATAAATTTCTTACTTATTTTGTTTTGTATTCCTCATATACAAGTGTAAGAAAATATATTTATATTTGTTATAAATGAAACATTAAAATTAATTTCTAAATTATGATAAAATTTTAAAATTCAATACAAAAATACANTAAAAATATTCATTATAATAAAAGCATAAATTTCTTACTTATTTTGTTTTGTATTCCTCATATACAAGTGTAAGAAAATATATTTATATTTGTTATAAATGAAACATTAAAATTAATTTCTAAATTATGATAAAATTTTAAAATTCAATACAAAAATACACATCATGAATTAAACATTCTGAAACTAATTGCAATTAATATTCTATAAAGGTAAAATTTCACTGACAGACAACATTCATTAATTATTAAGCACTAATAATCAAGGACTGCAGGTGTTTTTTTAAGTAATGTCTTCTCTACAACACAGCAAGGCCATAAAAATTTATCATCTTTTTTCTCATAAATTTTGTTATACAATTTATAAAACCTGGTATCCATTGAAGAAACATTGAAGTATAAATACATGTTTTTTTTTATTTGAAATTTTAAACTTTCATGAATCACATTGCAATTAAATTAATATACATTCTCAACATCAAAATAAAATCAAACAGACACCAACAAATTGCCGTAAATAATCAGGCTATAATTTGGAAATAATAATTATGAATTCCAAATTATATCCCAATTATTTATGGCAATTTGTGTGTGTCTATTTGCTAAGCATCAGGTTTCGGTTGTGTTTATATCAAAAACAAACAAATATACATCATAACAAATATACAAGCAAATAGTATATTACGCAATTAGTTTATAATATAAGCAATTATGGCACAAATGGAAATTTGGCACACCAGCGAGGCGAGTGGGCCAATTTCCACAAATACCATAATCGCTAACTATAAACCAATTGTCATACGGTATTTTGTAGTTAGACTACACCTATAACAATATACTTATGGAACTCAAAATCATGTATAAACAGTGTTAGTGGCACCGGTGTTGTGCCACAAACACTGTGTTTATACATGATTTTGAGTTCCATAAGTATATTGGGTTAATGTCCAGATACGTGGACCGTCATGGCGGCACTTCCTGTTTCAGCCTCGAAACCAGACGGTTTGCAGACGACGTGTCACGTGACGCACCGACGCACGTTCTAACCTAACCTAACCTATTCTAATAAATTAGCATAATTATTACCAATTATATTATTAGAATAGGTTAGGTTAGGTTAGAATGTGCGTCCCCACTGTTTCCTTTTCTTTGCTGGAATCAGCGATGAGGCGCCATGACAGCCGCCGCCGTTCGCTCGCATAGTCACGTGACACGTCGTCTGCAAACCGTCTGGTTTCGAGGCTGAAACAGGAAGTGCCGCCATGACGGTCCACGTATCTGGACATTAACCGTATATTGTTATAGGTATAGTCAATTATTTTATAATAAATATGTTATTTTACAAATAAATATCACTATTTTAGATGTTGATACAGATATTAAATGAAAATAATGGAAGAAATACCTTTTATTCTTCATTAAAATGACTTTACGAGACGTAATAACAGCAGCAGCAAACAATACAAAATACAACACTACTCTTGGTGTCCTTTTCACTGTTTGAAAAGAAAAAGCATTTCCTAAGAAAGTCGACAGAGAATTTCGGGTAGCGTCGAGAGAATTCCACATGATTCCACAAGCTATCTGTTAAACGTGTGAAAAACAAATATTACTTGTTGTATATATTGTTATCGTTATGGTCGTCACAGCTCCAGGTTTTCCTCATCCCACAACAGGAAATATGTTACGAGCGCCACCTACTTTTTTTTAGATTTAGGCATTTTTTTTCGCTCAGAGAGCACTGAAAGATCGGGATGCCACCTACCAATCATAATGGCGATTGAAAGATGCAATTTCGATCTATCCAATTAGAAATAAATTTCATAACAGGAATTGATCTAAAAATATGTAATTTCTTTCATAGTTCATACAAAACACCAGTCAAGAAGGCTGGCTTTCCTCCCCTCACTTTGTTTTAAATGTAATGCTTACTCGTAAACAACAAATTCATCACAAATCGATTATTGATGCGAATGTCTGAAATTCTGTTTAATGAGTGCAAATTGTGATTACCAGAGCCCCTTCGGCCGCCAATTTAAAGTCCTTTAATCTTTAAAACTGGCGTTTCCACTTCCCGGGACGAGGACCCAGGGGTTGGATTTGTGGGAAGCGAGTGTTCGGGTTGTTTCATTGTGTCGAATTACACAGAACCAGGAGCTTGACGTGTAAGTGCGTGAGTGCGAAAATTCGAGTAAAGGTTAAACGGTGTATATCTTCGTGTACAGTGATGTATGTTGTGTCCGTGTGTGTGTGTATGTGTATGTGTGTGTGTGTGTGATCCAAGAACACCTTCGGCATGTCTAAAAACAGAACAACAGTAAATTACGATACGAGAATAAGATTTGTAAAAAAATGAAACGAAAGAGTTCTTACCATCGGAGATTGCGGAAAATATTCACTTGTACGATAAATGGCCACGTCGTCCTCTTCGTGGTAAAGTTGGGGAGGGAGAAGAATGTTCCTACAAAACACAAACACAGTAAGAAAGTGAGAAGTTCATTCATTTATTATCTAAGGTCAACATTATTACCTTTATCAGACAGCCTTTCTTCCCGAACAGTGTCATGAGAAGAGCGAAGGACCTGACCTACCCTAACCTAACCGAAAGCTCAATCCTCATAACGCCTGTTTTGGAAGAAAGGTCGGCCGAATGTCGCGTCCGGTGAAGAAACGTGTCACGTCCGGAGGGTCACAATCGGGAGTCAAATCCGTTGTCGTCAATCGAGTGTCACGTTCGGGAGACAAGTCCGTGGGGTAAGAGACGGTCACGCATCCGGGTAAGAGACGGTCACGTCCGGGAAAAGGTGTCGAGTCCGGGTGAAAAGTGTCGAATCCGGTAAGAATGTCGCATATAGTATATAGTCCTTGCGCCAAAACTACACATCGCACGTGAATGGTGTTTGTATGTGGTAGTAGCCCCAAGTCTCCATTCGCGCACCAGGGTTGTTGCGTCTCGATAGCTATAAGGGTGCGGGAGATATGGGGCTGAAAGTAGTTGAAAGTGGCTTTCTATTTCGAATGTTTTGTTCGAATTTGTTCGAACAATATTCGAATTTAATTCGAACATGAAATTCGAATATTGGTTCGATTATAGAACGATTGTAAACGTTCCAGAAACGTTGAAAATAGTTCGTTTGACTTGACGTGAACAAGAGACGTCCAGAAATAGAATCAGGACCAGGTCTCTAATTAGTCTGGAAACGGGGGACCTAATTCTTGCATTCTTGCAAAACGGGTAAGATTGGCTATAATGTAATTATCTTAATCTTCACTATCGTTACTTTTTGCCCACAAATAAAAACCCAGCGAAGCGGGTCCTTGCAGCTAGTTAAAAATATAAAAACATTTTATTGTAAAATTTGACAACAGATGGAGCCACATACACTCTTATTTTTTTTCTTAAATTAATTAAATTAATAATATATACGTTTTTTAAAATAAAAACTCATGACTCTCTGGAAAGTAACGGAACTATCATTGCTAGATTTAAAAAAAAAATGCATTCGCTTCAAGGGCACTTTTATTTTGTTCGTTGTAAAACTTAAGCTCAATTCTTTCAGGATTTTTATTCAAAATGTTAGATCTAACAAAAATAAGCGCCTTTAACTTCCGACAATTCTTAGCGAGTTTTATAGGTTATACATACTCACTGAAAGCTGGATTACTACACAGACATCCGATCTAGATGATTTTAAAAACCAATTACAATTTTCTCATTTTTTGCCATGCTGTGAAAACCAATGCCGAGGCGGTATCTTAATGATTTTCCACTCTTCTATCCAAATATTAAAAATATTCAAATACCCTGATTCGATTTTAATAGTTGAAATTCTTAATTTTTATCTAATTTTAATTTCCGTTTTCGCCTTTCATCGTAAAAGAAATTGTGTATTTCAAATAATACACCGCTTCCTGAAAAGAATAATGTTTTAATGTTTTAACTAATTCTCTGGGGAGATTTTAATATTGTATGTTAAATATTTCCTGATCATTCGTCGGACCAACCTTTTTATCATTGGATCCCAGTGAAAACTCTCTTATTAATCTTCTTTATCTTCGCCTTTTCCCACATTTATATGGGGTCGGCGTTTCCTTCTCTAACATTTTTTCCATTTCTCCCTATCAAGGGCTTCTTCTCTCTTAAGTCCCCTCTGGTTGAAGTCTTCTTCCACCTTATCTTTCCAACGCATCTTTGGTCTTCTTCTTTTCCTCTTTTCTTTT